TTTCTAAGTCATCTAGTTAGAACTGCTGCTTGCTGCAAGTTTAGTTCCAAGTACACTTATCCTTTAAAGGCTATTGAAGTTACTTTGGGGTTTTTATAGCTCTTTGCATAGATTCCTGGCATCTAATGACTGGGTACATCCCCAGGCTATTTAATTAATACGTTGTAGCCTTGCATTCTTCTTTAAAGGAAATTGTAAGATTTAAAGCTTGCTAATTTAATGGTCCAGTTCATTGTTGATTAAACTATCAGAAACCAAATTAGTTTTATTTCACATCCAGCCTGAAATTCTGTAATATATGCTAATTTTCTGTTACGGTGAACATCTTACTGCTTTCTCTTACATACATTTTATAGCACTTTTCATTCATTTAGCAAATGTTTGGCATTTAATGTGTATACTAGTTAGTAGTCTATGTGCTTTCTCAGCAAATTTTAATTTTGGAGGTGTTCTCTTGAATAATCTCTGGGATGTCTGGTATTTTTAGATCAGATCATTAAATACCTTTATTAAAATTTCAGTGTTATGTTAAAGAAAAAATTTACTTCTTTGAAGCTATTTTGTCTAAATAGTACTTGTGTTACTAATATTTGTGTATATATTTGTAGAATATGTCTACCCAAATATGAGAACTGTTTTGGGAATGTTCAAAGCCATGTGATCTTTGGCTCTGATTTAAGATAAATACAATAAATAAATTCCTACTCCATTCTAACTAGATGACTTAGAAACTGCCTCTGCTTTTCTCTGCTCTTGAAAGTTCTAGATTCAGATTATTCAAAGGTTGAATATTTTACCATGTTAGAACTGAAAGAATGTTAAGGTGTGTCAGACCAGCCATGATTCATCCAGTATAAGCCACAGAGTACTTTATAGGTACGGGAGTCTTGACTGGAAGGGATTGTTGTTATTTTTTTATGCAAAAGAATTGAGGTGGTAAAGGTTGGTGGTGTTGGTTCAGTGACACAAATATGGATATCTTTGTATTTTTTGACCACCCTTTGCAATTTCCTATCCCTTTCTTTTGTTTCCCAAGCTGGTAAACCATTATGTCTCCTTTCCAAGCAGTATATGTGTAATAGAGGAGGATTAGGGCAAAAAGGATGACTCGGCAATGTGTGTGTGTGTGTGTGTGTGTGTGTGTGTGTGTGTGTGTGTGTGTGTGTGTGTGTGTGTGTACTCCTGTCATAGTATTGAGTAGTAGACAACTAGCAGGCTCTACTGCGTGTATAACACGTTCCTTCATACTCCCCAAAACATTCTTCCCCTCCCAAGCACACAAAGATTATTACCTATGAATTGATCTTAAGATTTCCTGAGCCTAGGTATCTTTTCAGAGCATATTCTTTCTCTAAATTTTCAGCCCTGGATTAGGTAGCACAGTTTTAATTCTCTAGAAGTACAATTGTGCAATGGGAAAAACACTAGACTTTGAATCAGGGACCTCAGGCCTAGTTCCAGTTCATTTGACATCTGAGCTTCCATTTCATCCTTTGGACAATGGAAATAAAATATCTTCTCTGTCAGTGTTTTATAGGCTTCTTAGAGGATCAGATGAGCACTATAAATATGTGGTATTAATATGATACCATGTTCAAGTCAAATTCTTCATTTTCCCAACAGAACAAGCTGATGCTTTTACTTCCTTCCTTTTTTCCTTCCCTTCCGTTCTCCCTCCCTCCTTCCCAGTGGGATTGAACCCAGGGCCTCACTCATGCCAGACAAGCACTTTACCATCCTGCTATACTTCCAGCTTTACCATAGCTTTTCATAGTGTAGGGAATTAAAATATGCCACTTTTGGTATATTGATTATTTTAAATTAGAGACATTGGGAAAAAAAGGAGATACGAAGAAGGGTCCTTTGAATTTCCTTTTTCTTCCCAAAAGCAGGAGATTAAAACTCTCACAGGAAAGTGCCCTCTAGTAGCAGGAGAAGGAAGTATAACCAGACCTTGGGAATCAAGACAGAAATCTATAGAAACCAACCTTGTTAACTAACCATTACCTTCCTGTTTTTTTTCAGTTAACCAAGCCCCTTTGTTTTTTCATGTTTTCACAATTTACTGCTCTGTCCAACCTGGTATCTAAGTGTTATACTCCAACTGTATCTGTGCATCTATGGTTCTACATTTTTATTATGAGGGCTCCCATGTACATGTGTAAAAGTTAATAAAATTTGTTTTTTTTCTTCTTGCTAACTTGTCTTATGTCAAATTGAGCCAGAGACCCTTAGGGTAGGGGAGAAATTTTACCTCCTCTCCAACAGTCTTCTAAAAACTTTAAAAGTGTAAAGTTAAAAAATGTGACACGTCACTTTTGTACACATAAAATGTAGTGCTCCATGTCCGTGAAGGTGTGGTGCATTGCAATCTAGGTAACCTTGTACTGGACACTGGTAGACAGTATGGATTAAGACCTCTGTCACAAACAGCTGGGTGAGCGTCCTTTTGCCCTGTTCAGACAGAAATCATGAATCAGCAAGGAGCGGCTCCGTTCATGTTGGCAGCTCTAAACTCCAGAGGCTTGTGCGCTGGGCTGTTGAACCCAGAGGTTTATGGCCCTAGTCTCTGAGAGCTAAAGAATTACGACTCCAGATCTCAGTCAGAGCTTATGGCTGTAAGCCTGGAGAATGCCTTGTGGCCCTAGGTGCTCCAGTCAGGCTCACTGCTCTAGGCTCCCAGCACCCAGAAGCTGGGGTAAAGTTCTAAGCTTTGGGTGTTGAAGCCCTCAGCCCTTCACACCTGGTGACTTGTTGGAGCTCTTCCAGTGACTGAGGTCTGTGTTTCTTCTGCTCAGCTCTTCACCGTCCACACTCAGTCCTGCACAGTCTCCACATACTCTCCCATCCACTCTCTGGAACTCTGTTTTTTTGTTGGTGGTGGTGGTATTGGGGCTTGAACTCAGGGCCTTTTCTTGCTCTACCACTTGAGCCACAGCTCCATCCCTTTTGCTTTAGGTTATTTTTTAACATAGGGTCTCGATTTTTATATTGGCTGGCCTGGGACCAAAGTCCTTCCACCTGTGCCTCCATGTAGTTGGGATCACAGGTGCACTACTACATTAGGCGTCCTGGCTGCGCCCCTGGAGCCTTGAAGTCACTGTCCAGCGCTGCTAGCTGCTGCTGCTGGGTGCTCGAGCTGCAAGCCCAGGGCTTTTGTCTGTTCTTACTGCAACTCAGCTTCTCTATCAGTGATTAAAAAGAAAATCCCAAAACAAACAAAAGAAAACCCAATTAGCCAATAAAAGATCATCAGGAAGAGGCTTTTACTGGGGCCTAATGTTGTAGTACAAGTTGGGAAACAGTGCACAAAAGGGAAGCCGCCTATACAGACCCCAAAAGAGTGAAATAAACAGCCCGTTTATATAGCCGGAAGAGCGGTGTGGCATGTTACTGTACAGGTCCAAATTCCAACTGTCACAAGCTTCACTTAGGCACCAATCACAAGCCTCTCTTAAGCAGGATCTCGAGCTGTTTGCTGAGTCACTGAAGAACTGCTCTCCTCCCCTTCTGAGTAAGAATAGCTACAGGATGGGTGGGGTTATCGTCTGGATCTCACTGAGGCTTGTCTTGGCAGGGGAAGTGAACCTCACCAGGGGTCTGTTAACCCTCTTGAATCTATTGTTGAGCAGCTTCTTGCAACTGCGAAGCAAGTTGTCTAGAAAGCAGAATTGTGGCTTCATCTTAGCTGTTGTATGGTGTCAGGGTTCTTGCAGCCAGGCCACCCAGGTGGACAGGGTCAGATGTTGACTTCAGGCTCAGCCCATTGTGCTGCTGTGACAGAATTTGCTCTGTAGAAATCATCAAAGAGTCGCTTATATTCGTTAATTAGTACCTTACAGCAAGAGTTTTTACATCTAATGTGTGCCTACAGGCTCAATTGTTGGGGCCTCTTCAAATACCTTCTTTATTGCGTTTGAGAAGTGGGTTGGTCATTTCTGATCGTTTTCATAGCATGATGTTCAGACAACCAGTAAACAACACCGCGCTCGGACGGGCACCGCCCACATATGAAAAGAGATACGCACATAGGTTACGGCAAGCGATCATGGAAGAAAAGTTTTTATTTCGACTCACACTCACACTCTATTGTCGCTTATAATAGTGTCTCTCTGTCACTGTAAAGGCATGCAACGTTAATAACAGATACTCACACATTACAGAAGCATCTGTCGTAAAGGGCCTTTCTTTCTCTCTGTACCTTCCATTTGGTCTCCTCTAACTCTGGCTTACCTATTTGCCGTCTAATCTATTTCACCATCTGAATCCTCCCCTCTCTCTGGGGTAGATGACATACTCTTCCATTGCTCGCTTAGACGTCTATACTGAGCATTTTTCTTCTCAGATGCTCTTAGTCTACTTTACGACCGCGAGCTATAGTAGCTTGCCCCTTCAAGCGGCTCTTCAACCTAATCTGGCTTAGGAAGAGTGGATCCCACTAGGGCCCATCTATGCCTTTCTTGGTCTGAGGAGACCACAACTGGATTTTTTATTTTTCTTCTAGAATGAACCTTCACCTGTTAGACAAGGCTACAACTTACGTCAAAGTATCTTCAGTGGAGTCCCTCGTCTTAATGCTTCTTTCCCCTCAGTGTTAATGAGTTTGAAGATTCGAGTGATAGGAGGCCCATCTTCCTGCATTATTTAAGGCGACGACTTATTCTCTTCTATTGTTTGAATTTAAGTTCATTACAGATTACAAAAATGAGGAAGAGTTTGTTAGGGCTGATCTGTTACCTCTGAGAATTTTACCCCAGCCGTGTGTGTCCTTGATTGGTTATAGTAGATCCTGAGTTAAGCTTTCCTATATCATTATCTTTTGTAGCATCACTCTTCTGGCGGTTATGATTCTTAGAGGCTTCCTTGCTTTGGTTCAGGTATTGTTGCTGCTTTTGCCCACTTGGCCATGCCTTTCCAGCCCTTTCTGCTCTGGTTATTTTTGAGATAGGGTCTCGTATTTTCCCCAGTTGATCCTCCTATTCTGTGTTTTTCCCTTACAGCTGAGATGACAGGCACATGGTACCACATCCCAGCTTTTTCCTTTGACATGGGGTCTGATGAAGTTTTTTGTTCTGGCTGGCCAAGAACTGTGATCTTCCCTGTATCAGCCTCCCACGAAGTTGGGATGACAGGTGTGTGCCACACCCAGCTGTTGGTTGAGATGGGGTCTCAAGAATTTTTTTGCTTCAGTCTCAGATTGGGATCTTCCTGATCTTGTCTCCCAAGTAGCTAGGACTGCAGGCTTGAGCCGCCATGCCCTGCTAGAGTATGAAGTTTTGTTTAACCCTCCCAAAAAAACCTTTCCATCTTAAGATGTCTTTAAAGAGAAACTTGAGTTGGGGGTATACCCTAAGAGGTAGAGCGCCTGCCTAGCATCATGAGACCCTGAGTTTAAAACCCAGCACCACCAGTACAAAAACAAAAAAGCTGGGGAGGTAGCTTATTGGTAGAGTGCTTGCTTAGCATGTTCAAGGCCCTAGGTTCAGTCCCCACCACCACACATGCATACAAAGAGAGAAGGAGAAACTTTCTTGTTCTTTTATTTAAAAATTACTAATATTAGCCAGGTGCCTGTGGCTCATACCTGTAATCCTAGCTACCTAGATTGTTGTTTGTGGCCAGTCCAGGCAAATAGTTCTCGAAGCCCCTCCTCCCCCAAACCATATCAAAAATAAACAAAGCAAAAGGGACAGGAATTGTGGCTCAAGCTGTAAAGTGCCTGCTTTGCAAATACAAAGCCTTGTGTTCAAATCTAGTCCCACCCAAAAAAAATTGGCTAGGGGAGTGGCTCAAGTGGTGAGAGTGCTGCCTAGCAAGTGTGAGGACCTGAGTTCAAACCCCAGTGCCACCAAAAAAAACCAAAAACAAAACTATTATTGATTATTCCATCAAGGATTAACATTCTGTGATTCTATGAAATTTGAGTACTCAGTAAGTCACAGTTTTAGTTTGTACATATTCCTTGTACTTTTTATAGATACATTAAAACCAAGGATTAATTGTAGATTGTCCCATTTTAGCACTTTTTTTTGTTGTTGTTGCTGTGTTTTTTTATTTATTTGGTTTTTGGAGATAGGGTCTTTCATCACAGCCCAGGCTGACCTGGAACTCGCAATTTTACTACCTTAGCCCCCCCAAGTACTGGGATTATAGACGTAGTCACCAGCCCTGGCTGCATCTTTTATTGTTAAAACTGCACTAGGGAAGATGGCTGAAGATGGGCTGAGTGTTTATTTTGCCTCTTCTCAGGGTGTTGCCTCAGGGCCTGCAGTAAATCTCTTCTCTCTGCCCTGAAGGTAATCTGTCTTCTCCCTGATTGGCTGCTATATTCGTTCAGTAGACTTTTTGACATTAAACATGTGACACAGCAAGTAGAATCTTCTGTAGTAGTTCCTATTAGCATTTTTTATATAATCTTCTACTTAAGAAAGAATTTTCCAAAATTTTCATCTTTTTAAATTTAAAGAAGTAGTTGGGGGAAGCCTTTTTAACTCCAAGGCTTCACTTTTTACATTGAAAATTGTAGATGTTTGCCAACATTTAATATGAAAAAATCATTTAAGAAATGTTATGGACCTTTGAGACCAAATATTTGCATAAACAGTAATAAAGGAATTGTGCAGTGTAGTTGCATGGTGAGATTTTCAAGAACAGAAACTGTATTAGCCACTTTTTTTCAATCTGGTATGAAATAACTTCATAGTTGTCTATCTATAGCTCTGTCCATTTTTCTCCTTAGGCGAACATGTCAAACCTTTTACGCCAGAGAAAGCAAAAGAAATTATAATGTGCCTGCAGCAACCTGCAATCTTCTGTAACATGGTTTTTAATTGGCCAGCACGACACTGGACTGCTAAACACCTTTCTGAGGTGCTTCATGGCAAGCAGATACGATTCAGAATGGGACTGAAAAGCATAGACACAGGTATGGTGGAAGTAATCATCATAACACTCTCTTCACTAGCACTCCTACATTCTCTGCAGGGGTTTCCTTGTCTCTAAAGAATTCTACGTTTTTCTAATCCTCTTTTTGAGGATTCACTTTACAGATAGGAAAATTTTATTGGAAAGTTTAGAAAAAGTTTGTCCTAATGCAGATTATTTTTTTTGACTGAACAATTGAGTTAAATTCCCATACAAAATGAAAATGTATTTATTCATGTGTCATATTGTGTATGTTGCTAGACATTACTGTGGTTCACTGAACATGGCAGGCAGTAAGTATTTGTTCATGTGTGATTATTTATGTTCCCACATGACTGAGAAAGCAGTATACAGTACTACAATGTAATCATACAGTATAAATCACAATCTAATCACCAGTAGTACAATGAAATAGTATCTTCCATTCTTGATTCCTGCAGAACATGTCCTTTTATTTGTGGCTTTAGGTTATTTATAGTGCTTAATCTCCTTTGCTGTTTCAGCTGCCTGTCTTCTGTTATATTACTGTAAAGGTGTTTGTTTTATGTGTGTGTGATGTTGGGATCAGACCCAGGGCCTTACAGAAGTTAGCCAGGTACTCATTTACTGAACTAAATTCCTGGGCCTCCCTATTTACTTTCCTTTCCCTCCTTCCCTTCCTGCCCTCCCTTCTTCTCTCTTCCTCTTCCTATCCCCTTTCCTCCCTCCCTCCCTCTCTCTCACTTTGTCACCCATACTGGCCTGGAGCTCTTGGGCTCATCCCTCTTGCCCTAGTCTCCAGCATGGCCGGGACTGTAAGCACATGCTACCACACCTGGCTGTTTGGTTGGTTGGTTTTCTAAAATTCTTTTAATTAGATGTATTGTGCCTGCTCTCTTTTCTTCCCAGAAGTCTTCTAACATTTCAGGGTTTTTTTTTGCCCTAATGTCAGATAAAGCAGTTACCATTAGCTCTAAAATTTAGTTAATGCACAGGAAAAAAAAATAATGCTATTTATAATCCAAAGTGGTCCTTCTTTCAGTAATTTGCTTTTCAATATAGGTAAGTTTGGTAGTCTAGAAATTTAGTGGTTAAGCATTGTAGTGAAGTGGCTTAAGAGTATCTATTCTACTTGTATTATTATTATATTATTATTATTATTATTATTTAGTATGTGTATATGGCCTTGTGCTTGCTAAGCAGTTGCTCTACCACTTGAACTACTCTGCTAGCCCATGAACAGCTATTAATAGCTCAAGAGGAACTAGAAATTTCTATTTCCCCTCCAGTAGCTCCAAGCTTTTTTCATCATGTTGAGCTTCTAGTGCATCTCATGTATTAGTTTTTAGTGTCTAGAACCTCTTGTACTTCTGTGACAGATATAGCAGGATTACTGTACCTGGAACTCTTCGGCATCTCATTCTAACCACAAATGGAACTGTTTATGATATTTTAAAATTAAATGCTAGACCAGCCACAGTAACATAAAAATCAGATTGTGCTTTTCCCTTCATGATTTTATTGAAATAAAACTCATTGGAATGTTTGTTAGATACTAATTTCAAGTGAAATAGGAATTATGTATTTTTGACTCCAGATACACCACTACTGCTAGCAGCTAACATTGTTAAGCTCTGCTGTTTTGGTCCTGTTCTGAGTGGTTTACCTCATTGATTCTCTTAATCTGTTTAACACCTCCTAGGATAGTACTATTAAGATTATTCCATTTTCTAGCAAGACATAGTATTTAACATTTTCAAGTTACTACTTAAGCATAAAAGAGAAACAATCTGCACAGTTGTGACTACTCTACAAAGATTACTTAGTCTTTTAAAAATTCAAATCAAATTCAGCGTTTTAGTCATTTAAAAGAATCCAATTCAGTGGTTGTTAGTATATTCACAGTGTTGTGCAACCATCACTACGGTTCAATTTTAGAACATTTTCATTATCCCATACAGAAGGCCAGTTCCCTTTAAGTAATCACTTCCCATTCTGTCTTACTACCCCACTGTACTTTCTGTATGTGTGAATTTACTCATTTGGGACACGTCGTATAAATGGAATCATGAAATAACTTGGCGTTTTGTATCTAGTTTCTTTTACTTAGCATGTTTTCAAGTTGAACATCGCAAATCTGAAAATCTGAAATGCTCCAGAATCTGACTTTTTCTGAGCACCATCAGATGCTACCAGTGGACAGTTCCACTCCTGACCTCATGTGACTGGTCATAGTCAAAATGTGAGCACACTAAAAATACTGTGTAATATTACTTTTAGCCTATGTGTATAAGGTATATGTAAAACATAAATGAGTTTCATATTTAGACTTGGATCTTATTTCCAAGATAGATAATATTCCAAAATCCAGAAACATCTAAAATCAGAACCACTTCTGATCTCAAGCATTTCAGATAAGGGATGCTCACCTGTGTATATCAGTACTTATTTCTCTTTATTGCTAAATAATATTCTGTTGTATGGATATATGCATTTTGTTCATCTATTCATTGATTGGTGAAAATTTGAGTTATTCCCACCCTTTGGCTATTATGCTAATGCTACCATGAACATTAGGTACAAGTTTTGTGTGGAGCTGTTTTCATTTCTCATGAATATGTACCTAGAAGTAGAATTGCTTAGTAACCCTTTAACATTTTGAAGAACTGTCAAACTGTTTTCCAAAGTGGCTGAACCATTTTATATTCCCATTAGCAATGTAGGAAAGGTCTAGTTTTTCTACTTCTTTCAAACACTTATTCCATTTAAAAAAATTCTAGCCATTCTGGTGGATTGAAGCAATTCTCTAGGGTTCTGAATTGTATTTTTCTAATGAGTAATAATATTGAGCATTTTTTCATGTTGTATTGGCCAGCAGAAATGTCTGTTAAGTTCTTTTGCTCATTTTCTAATTGGGGTTTTTATCTTACAGATATATCCTGAATACTAGACCTTTATCAGATGTATGAATGGCAGGTGTTGTCTCCCATTTCATGGATTAATCTCGATAATTTATTGTTTTAGCTTTTTTTTTTTTGAAGTACTGGGGTTTGAAATCAGGGCTTGTGATTAGTAGGCATGTGCTCTGCCACTTGAACCACACCCACAGCCTTTTTTGTTTTAGTTATTTTCTAGATAGACTTGCATTTTTGCCCAGGTCGGCCTTAGCAAGATTTCCTACCAGTACTTCCCATGTAGCTGGGTTTATAGGTGTGAACCACCACACCCAGCGATAGTTTGTTATTTTTGTTGTTGTTTTGCTTTTGGTTACTTTTTGGATAGGGTCTCACATTTTTCCTGACTAGTCTGGATCACTATCCTATCTGTGCCTCCCACATAGCTGGAATAACAAGTGTGCACTACCATACCTGGCTTATTAAGATAGAGTCTATAAATGCTACAGAGTACAAATGCTTCCTCAGGCAGTGTAGGATGGTGGTATAAGAGGGGTAACTTTGGAGTCAGCCTGAGTGTGTTCAAATTTTGACTTAATATGTGATCTGGGCAAGTCAGTTAACTTTTCTGTATGTTAGAAATATTTTCAAGTTTAAATGATTTTATGTGTTTAAAGCATTTAGAATAGTGCCTAGCATATTGTAAGTGCTTAACAAATTTTATTTAAAATAGGAATAATTTTAAGATGAAAGTATGACTTTTTCAACCTAGGAAAAAAATTGGGACAATGGAAAGGCCCGCAGAAACTTAAAAATAGGTGTCCCACTACCTAGAGGGAATAGCTAGTAATACTTTCATATATAAACATGTGGCCTTTTTGTTTTTAAAAAATAAAGTTATATTAACTTTCCTTTTCAGCCTGTTTTTATTTTTGCTTAACATACTCTAAGAAACTACTCTTGACATTAAATGTGATTTTTAATGGCTACTTAATCTATTGTGTGGTAATATAATTTGTTTAAACATTCTTCTGTTTTGATTATTTAGATTGCTCACAAGTTTTAAATGTACAAATACTACTGTAGTTAACATCTTTGCAAGCAAACTTGTCCACGTTTCTGTTAGTTCCCTAGGATAGATTCATTCCTGGCAAGAGAATTTCTGTGTCAAAGGTTGTGAGAATTATCAATAGCAGCACTATCATGAAGCTCCTTACACCAGAAATATCTCTCAGTCCTTCTGGGGTCTTGCGAGTTGCCTTCTAAACATCCAGTAGCCACCTGCTTCTCTAGCTCATGGCCACCCACAGTCAGCATTTCCTGGCTGTCTCACCTCCATAGTTGCAACAGCCTGGTCCCTGAGCCTGGGTCAAACAAGCATTTTTTCACTTTCTCTGTTCACAGGGCTTGGGTTCTTCCAGCTTCAGGGCCCTTGCATATGTAGTTCTCTTTTTCTCACCATTGTCTCTTTTCCCATATCCCCTTCCCCTGGTTAATTCCCATATCCCAGCTTTATCCTGTTAATTCCTTTTCCTCCCTGAGATTTGAGCTTAAATGTCCCTTTTTCCTCCTCCATCTATCCTCTTCTATCCCCCAAATCTGGTGTGGCTTTAAATTACTTCAGAACATATTACATTTTTTAATAATGCTTAGCATGGATATAATCACATGATTAGTTGAGTAAGTAAGTACCTGATTAGAATCCTTCATGGTCTTTTTTGTGAGGCCAAGGGCCATGTTTCATCATGGGCTGAGCTCCTAAAAGGCATTCAGATGTTTGAAAGAATTGAAGGCTTTTAATACATAGGACGAGTGCTTTGCAAAGTAGTTTGTATTTATATTCCTTTTCATAACTGGTGAGGATACCTATTTTGCCACTCCTTTGCCAAAACTGAGATTTTTTTTATTTTTTAAGAAAAATCTTCCTGATAGTTGAAAACTGCTATCATTATTTTAATTAATATTTCTTTGATTGCTGGTAGTATTAAGCATAAGTTCATGTTTATTAGTAATTTGTATTTTTTTCCTGATAACTGTTCTTTGACTGTTTCCTTATTAGAGCCAAATAGTTACATTGGGAGTTTTTGTTCTAATAACTTTTACTGATTCTTTTTTTATCTTTCTGTCT